CTACAGCTCTTCATTAAATGTTCCCAATTCTGATACAAGCCTGCAAAACCACTTCCATTTTCCTGAGCACCATTCAAATTTACTGTAAAGAATAGAAATAGACTCAGATTACTCTTAACAAAAGAAATCCACTTCTTACGTTGTTAGCGTGCAAGGACTTGGAGCAATCGAGAATCTCCAGGAATTCTTGAATAATCCACATATTTGTATGGTTCACAGCTCTCAAGGAGAGCTGCATTTCCAGTCTTCTGTGGCCAAAATAAGTATGCTAAGTTATACATTTATTTCTTTTAATGGAAGATAGTTTTATCCAAAAAAAAAAAAAACAACCAAAATTCTTTTCGAAAGAAATTCTGTCACTGGAGACTTAAATGGAAATCCCTGCTGAAGTTAACATGGGTTTGGATTTCATCCTTTATCTGACCTAAAATCTGCAATGACAGCAGGAACAACTTCAAACTAAGGTAACAGTCAAGTTTTCACACACAACACTACAGCAATATAGGTCACAGTCTCCTAAGAAATAGAAAGGGATACTTGTACTATTGAATTTCACTGCATATGGAAATGATTTATGCTGTAATCAGAAATGTAGCCCCTTCGAGTAGAAGATTCTCAAGCAATTATCACAGAGTAAACGAGTCTTTAGCTCTACTAGCCATTAATTTAATGAGGCCTTTTTTTTTTTTTTAATGACCAGTGTCTTCATAACTGATGGATCCCTAATCTGGCAAAGCACCTGCTCACTTGTCTCCTGGAGACAAATGTGGTTCAGCTTTTCAGATTAATGAATCAGAAAGCGATACACAACAGTATTCTAATGTGTGTTGTAATAAACTTTCCACGCTTCAAAACAGAAAAATAATCCATAAATTCACTTCCAGAGTTGTGGTTTCAGGTCTTCAAGGTTTTTTGGTTGCGGATTTTTTTGGACAGGAACTTTAAGTGGCATAGTCTTTCTAGAGCATAAACCTGTCACCATAATAATTGCAAGTCATTTCATAGATCTTATTTTTTAAAAGCTACGGAAAATCAAGCCTAAAAATGTTACTGCATCATTAGTAGTGTTCAAGCTGTGGAAGTGCTGAATTTAATATTCCGACAATACACAATATATTGCACATTGTGGATGATGTTTTGCACAACACAGGGTGTGTAATGCAAGTGTTACAAACCTGATTTCTTGCTTTTTCTGACTAACTACAGTGTTCCATGTCATCTTGAGCAGCTTTTTCATTCCCACTTACAAATAGTTTTAGAACTGCTCTGAAGAACAGTAGGAGCTGCCAGCTTCCCCAATACACTTTGGAGCACCCACTTGACAAAAATCCTACCAATAAGAAATCTCATCCAATATGTTGAGTCTGTTTATGTTCTTATGAATCTAATGATGCTGCTTGTTGATGCATCACCTCTCCTGTCCTGTGAAATCCTCCAGGGGAGTTACACAACTTGTCAAAGTGTTGTGCAACCAAATGGTTCCCTGTGGGAAGAGGTTGAGCCAGTGGCCTATCTCCGCACAGCAAAGCTCGTGCTTTTATGTTGTTCGTGTTGATTTTGTCTTGTCAAATTGTTGTCTCTACATTGTGTAGGAAGTTGGTCAGTTATCCCCTGTCCCTACAGCAGAAGCTGTTTTGAAGCTGTTTGTTAAAACACACCTAGAAATACATTCCTTCAAATTGAGTGTCAGTGAAGCGTCTGCATTTGATGTTCTTCCAATCTGTGTATGAAATCCCGACTTTTTCCTGTTATCTGCAGCCTCTTTTGTTGTCAGGAGAAGGTTTTAGAAGTTTTTATTTTCAATTAGTCAATATAACTGATCCCTCTCATTCTCATCACATTTTTCTTCCAAATTCTATAGAGGCAATTCATGATCTCACCCAATATTTAAGCTACCAACTTTCTTACTTCATTACGGAATGCAGTGACTATATTTAATTCTGTCGGATACTGGATACTCCACTTCTGCTCTTGCCACCACAAACACGTCATACGGATGAAATATTTAGACAGAAACGTATTTTAAACAAGACAGGAGGATGCCTTATATTGGGACAGTATCTCAAGTAATCAGATATTTTTAGAACTTGATGGAAATACATATTCGAGAAGAAAAAGGCCTTTTAGGTAGTCATGCCAGTTACACCAAAAGATTTCGGTGAAAATGATGTTTTCTTTAAAATGTTGACATTTTCTCAAACATTTTTTTCATTCATCACTTCAAATGGAATAACAGATGCTTTTAAACAAACGTTGCTTCAGAAAAGTAATTGAAAAGAATCATTTATTTAGTTACCAGCCTACAAACTACATACTGTGACAGGGTATGGCTCCTTTTTATTTTAACATAAATTTCATGCATATGAATCCATATTTAAAGAAATTGGATGAAATTTCCTATAAATTGCATACCTATGTGCCCATACTCGGAGCATACTAAAATAACAAGAGATACAGACTCATAGAATGGTTTGGGTTGGAAGGGACCTCAAAGATCATCTAGTTCCAACCCCCCTGCTGCAGGCAGGGACACCCTCCACTAGACCACGCTGCCCAAAGCCTCATCCAACCTGGTCTTAAACACTTCCAGGGATGGGGCCTCCACAACCTCTCTGGGCAACCTCTTCCAGTGCCTCACCACTCTCACAGTAAAGAATTCCTTTCTAACATCTAATCTAAATCGACCCTCCTTCAGCTTAAACCCATGACCCCTTGTCCTGTCACTACACTCCCTCATAAACAGTCCCTCTCCAGCTTTCCTGTAGGCCTCAAAAATAGTTAGAATAAATAGTTAAAATTAATTTCCTGTCACAGATGTCATATTAGCATATCCTTTCCACATTTCACATCCTTTCTGCAAAGTCAAGAGCACCTTATTTTCACCACACTGTATCAAGCCATATATCTACATTTTAAATAAACACAGAAAGCACAGGATTTCAGATGCAGAGCAATGCTTTGATATACTGCTTCCCATGATGAAGGGTGTAATGTAATAGTTTTTAAAATACAAAACCTCTGTACTGCTGAAACCTTAATTCAGGAGTTGAGAAATGAAGAGTCTAGAGGCTGCAAGGTAGCAACAAATGATGGGTGCTTCAATAAAGCATGCAGAAGGTTTCCCTGAATGTCAGTAAAGAATTTGCATTCCT